TTGTACTCACGTTTTTGTCGCCCTAGCCCCGTTCCAGTCTTGTGCCCCATTGTCTCAGCCTCCTCGTCTTTGTCGCTTCTCCGGACCACAGACCTCCTCAACCCCGCACCATCTCCACCACGCAGGTCGATGCACAGTCTCCCATTAACTGCATGTACTAACTCTGTCTCCTCAGCAACCTTCCACCATGACCAGCCCAGGAGTGAGTCCCAGCGTCCGCAGCCCGGCCTTTCCCTCATCATTCCACCACTGACTGTTATTCACCTTCTGCAGCTCGACACCCGGTCCCACTTCTACCTGGTTATTCGCTTGCTTGTAAAATATCACTGTAAATAAACTGAGCACTACTTGCACTGAAGTCAGCCACCTGGGTCCGTCCTTTTTTTTGACTCGCTCACCTCTGTGTCCGAGCGGATCTAACACTTTCACATCGAATGATATTCAGCGTCCTAATTATAGTTGATGTATTAAACAGCACTGAAGTTAGTTTCTGATTCAACTATTAATGGGGAATTTAAAGGACTTAGAGAGTATTCTTTAGGTTAACCTGTTCAATTGATGTTTAATGCAGCATTCACAGCTGTCAGATTTGTGAAACCTTTATTTTATTTGTAGAAACACTGGCACTTTCACTGCTTTTCTCCATCCTGGTCTGACCACATCAAACCAGGTTCAGATCAGAACTTACCTATTTACAACTGTTTGTTTTCCCACCTCTATAGTTACTTATTTAAGTATATCTAATATTATACTAGTTAAGTCTCATTTTGCCGAGCCTGTTGCATTACTGGGGTTGGGAGGGATATTGTCAATGTTAGCTATGTTGATTCAAAATGAACTAAAGGCAAATAAACATCATTCATTCATTTTCTACCACTTAGTCCCTGAACGGGGTCAATTTAGAGACACCAATCAACCTAAGCTGCATGTCTTTGGACTGTGGGAGGAAGCCGGAGTACCCGGAGAGAACCCACACAAGCACGGGGAGAACATGCAAACTCCACACAGAAAGGTCCCAGGTGGGGCCCGAACCCGGAACCTTCTCGCTGTGAGGCAACGGCGCTAACCACTGTCATTTTTACAAAAAAATAAATAAATACTCACTGAGCCGCCTCATGTTTTCGGTCAACCTGTGCATCACAAACCAGACAATTTAGACTTTATAACAAATACAGCTTTAATGGTATTAAAAGTGTGTTACATATTTAGTTATTTTAAGTGAGTGCACTGGTAAAAATGTTGTGTTTTCAAGACTTTACTCCTCACAGCTCTGCAGCATCCCGGGTCATCTCCTTACCTCTTGGCACTCAGCGGCTCATCCGTCTCCACTGTTGTCTCCTCTGGCTGGAAGCGGAAGTCTTCGATAAGAACAGCAAAACGGTCGTAGAGCCATTTCAGGAAGCTCTTGGACAGAGTGTCCTTCTGTTTGTCTGGGCAAAGAGAAGAAAGCGATGGAAAGTGATATCAACATTAGTCAGCTCTAAGTGTATGGACAGGACTGAAATGCAGTTGGCAGCAAAGGCCGCATGCAGCGTTCGGAATAAAGCCTATACTTTGAGCAGAGCTAGCCGGCCTCCCTCTTCACTTCCTCCTGTCTAAAAAGCCCAGACTTCTAAGGCTAGTTACCGGCTACGAGCCAGGGCTAAAGCAATTTAACCATGAACCAGAGGTCCCCAACTACGGTTTGGGGCCAGAGACCTGGGCGGGTAACACCGTATTTGAGAAAGTTACAACTAAAAAGAAGTTGGATGCTGCAAGAAGTAAAACCAGAATTAACATTGGTGTGGCTTCTGAATGATGGTGACAATTGAGAGAACAATAGTAGCTGAACAGTGATGCCATGGTGGCCGCATTTCTTCAGAGCAGACACATGAGTCTTGGGATATCCTCAATCCTCACTCGACCCGGAAGCCGAGCTCAAGGACCGAGGAACAATCATATAAGAGACCTGAGATGCAGCTATGGTTTAAAGAAAAGAGAAAATGCTCATGGACTATCAGCCACTGACACTTTGAACCCTTATTCTTTCTGTTTTCCCCACTAGATGGAGAATCTGTTCAATTAGCAGGTCTGTACAGCTCACCTGTACTGCTGGCTTGAGGTGAAGGAGGGGGCGGGGCTTTACGTGTCTGAGTAGGTGAGTCTTCAAGCCTGTGAAGAAACGACCAGTCCATCAGCCCAGACACAAACCAACAGAAACATGCTACTCTGTTTCAAAACCAGCTCATTAAATTGTTTTTCTCGGTGGCTACCTGGATTTCAGGGTGTCATTGATCTTCTGCTCCAGCTCGATGCGTCTGCAGCGCTCCTTCTCCAGCTCCTGTCTCAATGAATCCATGTTGGACTCTTCTTTAAGTTTCCTCAGCTCCTCCTCTGAAACACAGGGACAGCCAGATGATCAGAGTCGGTTGGTCCTCTGAGGCCTCAGCAAGCTGGCGTGAAAAGTGTTTTCATACTATCGGCAGCTGTTCAGGGCAGCTCAGGTGACATTTTTACCCTCTACCTGGTGAGGTTTATGTCTGGCATCCATCTTTACAAGCATCCAAGAAATCAAAGTGCCACAGATTTCACATTACCTATAAATCATATTTCTCCAGTTCATATTATTTTATAAAGCGCAGTCCAGGTCAGGATACTCACGCAAAAAGTGTTTCTCTAACAAAGCAACTTCTAGATGACCTTTGATCTCATTCAGATCCGTCCTTGAGTCATCTTGGAGAGCAGGAGAAAATGATCCTGGACCACCCTGAGAGACAAACACACACACGCATACAGGTATATGAAATAACAACATCTCTTTATTTATAGTGCAGCTCAGACCTGGTGAGTGATGCCTGTAGCAGTGAATCAATCTGAATCATTCAGCACTGAACGATGCAGCAGCTGGATTGTACTTAAGTACAGTTTAAAGGTACTTTATTTGAGTAATTCAAATGTTCAGACAACCATGCAGGTTGATTTAGCATAAAGAAAACAAAGTGAACATATCAAATATCTGTTGAAATTCTGGTCTCAGTCAGATTAGCATTTGTGTTTCTTTTTAAACTCCTGGTTCTCTTATTTCATGCAGACCAGACAGGTGTGTGTCTGTACCTGAGCATCACTCTGCTGCTGCTCTGCCTCCACCTCCCCGAGCTCCTCTGGCTCTAGGACGGAGCTGCGAGGCTTCATCGCAGCCTCCTCAGTGAATTCTGCATCGGAGGTATTGGGCGACTCGACCGGATCCAGGAACTCGTCCCGTCTGTGGCCTCGGAACCGGATCTTGTCCAGACGCTTCCGCATGGTGGGCACTGTGGAGCCGGTCTCTACCTGAACATGATGGACGACTGAGCTGCAGAGACTGGAAGAGGATGAGGAAATCAGAAGCACTGAGACATGGTCGACAAAGCATCAAACAACCATCTGGTTCTAATAAACTGACATGGTGAGCAGAGTGAAGGCTTTGTCGGTCCGTCCACTTTGGTCCAGATGGAAATATCTTAGCAAATAGTTGATGAAGTGCCAAATCTGACAGGCTGATTTCAAGTGGGAATAATGTTTAAAATATTTAATGTTTTAGCACATTTACTGATTACCACTAAAGACAGCGCACAGCTGATGCTGACAGGAAGGTCATTAGTTCTGCAGGTATTTGGTCACAAAACACAGTCATGGATAAACTGACATTTTGACCTGATGATGGCACTTCACGCATTTCCTGGCAATCCATCTGATAGCTGTTGAAACTACAAATGTGAACCCTGTGATGGCAGCAGAGGAGAAGTCTGTAGACTTCACTCTCTGGGAACCACGAATGTCTGGACTTAATCTGGTAACAATCCATGTAATAAATGTAATAAATAAATCTTTAAAAAGAATATAATAAAAACAACAACAACATAATCACAATAATAATTTATTTGAAATGCAAAACTTTTAACCTGCAAGTGAAAAGTAATGGGATTACTAAACTCATTAGGATGCATCCTCTGGAGACCACAAATGTCTTCACAAGATTTCATGACAATCTTGCCAGTCTTATGTTAGAATGGTGCATGTACCTCCCAAAAAACCTATTTTCCATCAGTGCACAGGCTCTTTCCTGCTCATCTCATCAGTGTAGCCCACTGCTGTTAAACAAATGTCCAGATGTATGAATGCAAACTGAACAACTGAACAAAAGAAGAACAAGCCTAAACATAAAAAATTCCTCACAATCACTTTATCTGGGTGTCGGCAGTCAACTGTGAAGGAGTGAAGGTGTGTTCAGTGGAATTAGCTGAGCTGTCTGACAGGCCTGACCGCCTCCAGCATGACTGCCTGCTTACTAACTGACTGACTGACAAAGACCATAACTGGTCTGTCTGCTTTTAATGACTGACTGTTAACATTACTGTCAGTCTACTGAGTCAGCAGCTGAGTACTGATTAACAGAATTAATGATTTTAAACAGACAGTGTGAATGCTTGGTAGTGCAAATGGATGAATGGCCAAATAGTGTGAAAGCACTTTTAGAGTGTGCTGCAGTGCATACAAAACCACTGCAGAGTTTACAGAGGTAAACTCTTATTAAGAAAACACAGATGTGTATTTTCCCTCCTCAGGGTCTGCAGGGAGGAGCTGGAGATAGGGAGTTTTGGACCGCTGTGCTGAATCTCCTGCTGCCATGAACCGACCCTGATAAGGGTGATAATGGATGAATGGACTTAAATCACATAATCCAAAGTATTAAAGTGTGATGGATGATATGATTGAGTCACATATTATTAATCTGATTTGTTTGTTTAAATGTAGGTTTTCGGATTATAACTTTCTTAGTAGTTATCCTGCAATCAGACATAAAAAGACTAACTATGGCCTACAGCACACAAAACAAAGCATATTATACTTTTGTACATTTGTACAAGACTTTTTATTACTGGACAGTGCAAATGCTCTTCAGATGTTTAGATTCTTATAACTCACACAGTCCCATCAGGAGGCATCTGCTCAGTCCTATATTAATTATGGGTGATAATAATAATAAATAATAAAACTAATAATTGTGTTTATGATTCTGGGTTCTGAAATGTGAGGATTTGCTACTTTTTCTTCTTCTTATTAAATTTTAGAGTGAATTTTTTTTTTTGACTGTGGGTCGGACCATGCTTTTGAACTGGCGACAGCCAATCATCTGCTATTTACCTGCGGAGCTCAGTGAGGGTCTACAGGAACCCGGTGCGAGATCCAGGTTGGACAGACCTGGACACCGTCAGAAGGATCGGAATAAGAAAGGGAGGAATAACAAGAGGTGACAGATGTGTCTCACCGTGAACCGAAGCTGAAGCAAACTTTCCCACCTTCGCCCCTTCCTAGAGGTCCAAACCCACTCCAGACCAGACCAGTGTCACTCCTCTGCTTCAGTAATTAGTCCAGATGTGGTTGTTTCTGGGAAAGAACCGGACCGTGTTTCTATACCTGACACCGATCGCAGCTATGAATTGCGTGATCAGCGTCAGCATAACAAGGATGTGACGTCATCATGCTGCGCTCTTAAAGCGAACGGCAGGTCTTAGCACAAAAAGTAGCGTTCTGTTTCTGGAGGAACTTTGAAGGGCTTTCAGTTCAGTGTAGGAGTAACGGTCGGTGCAGTAAAGCACTTTATAACCTGGACAGTTTCAGCTGAGATGTGGACATGGTCTCCACGGTCCTGAACACTGACGTAAAGCAGGTAAGACTCGCCTGACGGTAGTACTTCCTCATCCCGCAGGTGAGACCGCGCACCTACAGCTACACTAACGCTGCTATGCAGCGCTGACAAAAAGTTTGAGAGCTCACGCTGCATTCTTTGCAGTTCCTCAATGTTTTCCACCAGACTTCGTTCAATCAGTCTTTATCGTCTTCCAGTGGGCCTAGTTCATATAACTCAGGACCGTAGTGTTTCCTGTTATTTTTGGTTAATAAACAAGTAAACGTGCGGCTTGCACTGCACACAACCTGGCTAAGTTTAAACCTTTTATCCTCACATAGGTTCCGCCAGAATAAGAGAAAATTGACAGGGGCAAATATGTATAAACTGTCAGTATTATAGGGAGAATAACGAGAGTATATTTAATATATGCCGAATTAAGGATAGAGACCTAATTATTAAAAACATCACAAAAACTGGTTGAATAACTCTGGCACACCTTACCGGTTAGCAACGCAAAGATAAAGTTGCATATTTTATAAAGAGGATCCGGAACAGGGTTTGCAAACACCCGAAAGAAGCTGGGCTGCACAAAACAAATAAAACTATTCTTTAAGACTGATCAAATTTATAATAGTATGGGGTTTTCTCACATGCAAATCCGTGTAAGAAAAGTGAAGTTAAAATGTCTGAGAGCAAAGGCCATGTTTTATTTCAGATTCTGTTATTTTAATCATGATGCAAGATGTGTTTAGTGCATGGACAATTTCCTATTGGTTCTGTATGTGTTGCTTGTTGGTTCTGTTTTTGTTATATTCAGTGGTGTAAAGTATATTTTCAGTCTGTATTCAAGTTGAGAATTTTTATGTTCTTCTAGGTTATATTCCTACTTCCACTCTACTGCAGGTTATTGCACAATATTTTACTTTTTACTCATTGCTTTGCAGAGTTAGGTTAATAATACAAAATATAATCAACAAAATTAATTATGACATATTATTATCGGTTGAGGAAATTCACAAACTGTCCAGCAGTTTATAAATTGTTCAAATTAGCCCCACTTTAATGAGCTTCAGCAATAGGTGATGTACATATTGATGAATCTGTAACTATAGTCCAATACTAAAATATGGGCTATTCTGCATAATGTCATTTGAAGGCACGACTCTACTTATTCTACATTGTAGTACTGCTACTTCTATTTAAATATCTGTTTACGCTTCCCACTGCTGTTTGTATCGTTTGGTTTAACAAAGCCTGGGGAAGTTTTTGTTCTGGTCTTTGTCCAGAAGCTCCTGAGATAAAAAGTGCAGATGGATGTGCTGGTTCTCTTTTTCTCTGCAGAAAGATGCTGATCATGCAGTGGTCATTGCAGTAACGTCTCGTGCCGTGTTTGGATCTGGAGCTGATGATGATGAGGTGTACGGAGAGGGTTTGGCTTTCCCACTGCTACAGGTTGGAGTCCAACACTGTCAGCAATTTAAAACCTTTAACAATATTGTTATAGTGTGTGTGTTGAGAAACGATTATTACTGGCTAGCTGATATGCCTGTATGTTTTCATTGACACCAGATGGTTTCTGTGGTTTCAGAACAAATTCCTGTTACTTTTGAAGAACCGCCTGCTGTTAAGCACTTCAAAACTCCAGTCTGGTGATATTCTGTTTTTTTCCTCTTGTCAACAAATCCTCAGGCCCTGCAGAGAGTGAATGAACATCTGTTGATGAACAATCCTGCTGAGCTGCTGTTGTTCGACATTGTCCTGCTCACTACTGACAGTCAGCAGCAGCAGCAGAGCCCCCGGATCATCAGCAGCACCAGACATTACGGTAATTCAACTATAACCATCAGCAGCAGCACCAGATATTATGGTAATTTAGTTGTAAAGGCCATCAACAGTAATTTAACTGATTATCAGCAGCATCAGACATTACATTAATTTAACTCTAAGGATCATGGACAACACCAGACATTACGGTAATTTAGTCAAGCAGCTGATCAGTGCTGGAGTTTAAAGTCTTAGTGATACTGGTGACAACTTCCTGTTGCCATGTCATCATTGCTGCTCTCTTGCAGGTCTTGAAGTCGGCAGGTTTTGTTTTTCCAGCGAGGAGGATTTTGTGGAGAATTTACTCAAAAATAATGTTCAACTCTTCCTGTCAACGGACAGAAACGAGGCATCACAGGCAACACAGAGAGGTCAGGAAATTTCTTCTTCCGTCATTCATTACAGCTGTACATGTGACAGATGTGACCCCCCCCCCCAGAGGTGTGTGAGTAAGTCTTTATTGCCAACTATAGTCTCTGTCAGATGTTGGAACATGAACATTCTCATCTGTTTAAACAGGAATGAGATGAAATGCAAAAGTTGGACATGTTTGAGACTGAAATAACTGAAAGAGCATGTTGCGATAATGATTCTAAAGCAGTTTTTCTGTGAAATGTGTCGTCCCCCGATGGTTAGAGCCATCGGTTGAGCTGGCGCCGCAGATGGCTGCCTCTGTTCTCTACCGGTAAAAAATTCCTTGTGTGTAACATACTTGGCCAAATAAAGGTGGTTATCCTTATCCTATATGCAAACCTCACTGTACTAAAATTCTCACAATGAGTGTTTAATTCTCTAAACATTACAGCTTTTGAAAAAAAAGTGACTTTGTTCTCAAAATGTTTGTTTATTCTAAAAGAAACATTAATTTTGAAATGCTGCATATTTATTCAAACATTACAACGTAACTTTGAAACTGATTTTTCTGTTATGACTTAATTTGATTCTGTTGATCTTTATCTTAAAATTATTAGCAACAATGTTCACTTAAGACTTTAGTTTCTTCTTAACATTCTTACAGTTGAACACTGTGTTTTGATAATGTAGTGAGGTGGGTGTGATGTTTGAAGGTGAACCATCCTTCTTGTCATTGGTCCAGGTGTTCTCTCAGCACTGCTGGACCACCAGACAGCTTCCTGTCCGTCAGAACAGCTCAAGGTTTTGTTCTTTGGAGATGCCGTCATCCAGCCTGACACTGGCCCAACGCCGCCGAGCCGACAGGCTGCTCGGGTACAAACGGCAACATGTTGATACATCTTTAGTTTATATTCTTGCTGTGAATTTTCATAAAGCTGAATCTCAAATGTTCCAAAGGTCCTTGGAACATTTGAGATTTGATTAAATCATGATTCCCACTCTTCCTGTGCAGAGCTTCTCGGCTCAGCTGGGTGAGATGCAGCGGAGGTTCACCATGTCTGACAGCCCTCTCAGCATTGGCCTGGTGACGTGGCGTGGTGGCAGGGACAGCTGTGCCGATGCCCTGCACACTCTGCGGTCCCGCGGTGTTCGCGTGGATGAAGCATACTGCTTAGCCGAGGCCCCCTGGGGCCCCATCCTGTCTGTGTTCCGGCCTCACTTTCTGCTTAGTGACGGCTTCGGGGGGCTAGAGGGGTGACATGATAGGAGCAAGCGGCAACCTCCGTGGCCGAGAAATGAAGCCGATGTGGAAGTGCCAAAACCAAAACCTGCTGTTCCTCGAATGGCCACTTAAAGCTGGCTCCAAAAGAGAGTCGGTCCCTTTGTTCTACTGACATATTTAGTTTGCTTTTAATGTTTTGCTTTTAATGACTACTCTAGTGGTCCTTGAAAAGGTTCCAGGTGTCCTTTGGATCTCTCTAGAGGCCTCATGAATAAGTTGTATGAATCCTTTAGGGATGGGCCGGGTCTGTGAGAAGGCTTCAGTGCTCCTCGGTGAGATTCAAGGGGTTCTTCAGTATTTTATAAATGATAAATATAATCAGAGCAGTGTGTATGTGGTCAGCTTTAATTATCAGAGGATGAGAAACCGCTGAGCTGATGTCAACAGGAGCAGAAATCGGGAGATTAAAACGTTCTGTGGAATGGAAGAGCTCGGTCTAGAGGACAATGTGCTTTTGTGATTCTGCCAGTTTCATAAAAGACCTGGTGGTGACAGCACTTGGTTTTCTTTATCCTGCAAATTTGAGGCACTTTTATTGTAAATTTTCATTTTGTTATTTTAGACTTCTCCAAGTTTCACAGGGGGGAAAGTGTACTTTTTACTTTAACATTTATTTGATGGCTGATGATAATTAAAAATCATTTAAGTAAAATTATACTGTAGATTACAAAAAGGTAGCTTACTTATCCTTTACCAGACACGGCGTGTTACACACAAAACTGATTCTGAAGTCAAGTCAAGATTTTTATTTGCCATTTAATAATAAACAGACAGTCTAGGCATATAGGAATTCTTGTGCAGCTCTCCTTTGGAGTCAGGTAAGGAGTCAAAAGCCAGAAAGAACACTTGGTCTTGAAATAAAAAGTTACATAAAGGCAACAAAGTATTAAAACTGAAATACACAAAAATTGAGTAATATTTTCCCCAGTGAACTTCAAACATAGCACTTAGCAATTCACTTAGTCAAAATAAAAAGACTAAGGGTCTATTGTGTGGATAATCATTGATTTTAATCAATTAATGTACTATTAATTGAAAAAGCAAATTAACGTACTTTATTACATCAGTATCATTCATATGGAAATTGAAAAATTAGGGGATTTTGACGTCAGTCTTTGTATTAATTCATATTCACTACTTGTCAATATGACATATTTACTGTTACTGGTTTTTAAAAATGTAGATGTTTTTGCAGTGGTCACTCCTTTCCGTACACACGCGAGCGCACACAAATAACGCACGGATGAACAGACATAAACGGACATGACAGATGGACAAACTCTCCTTTTGCAGCTCACAGACCGAAGGACGCCCTAAAGCGCAACTGATAAGCGGCTTTAAATTGGCTCATCTGGCGTCAGTGGCCTCAGGCTGCAGGTGGACGCACCGGAGCTGCCAACACACCGCTCTAACGATTTGAGGATTTGAATGCGTTTTTGATCAAAACTCCGCCGGGCTTCCCTGTATTTCGGGAGAGAAAATGCTATAGGCGAAACTTTATCAGCTTTTAATATTTATTACATTGGAGATGTGCTTTACTTTGTGATTAAAACACATCATGACTGTTTCCATTCCGTTTTGCGTAAAGCGCGCACTGGAGCGCTCGGGAGCTGCACATTAATCCATGTAGAGTCTCCCTGGCACCATGGTGAGACCGCAGATGGGTGACCAGAGTCCTGTCCGACCTTCCTGATAGTCTGGTGGCCGCGCTGCTGGGGCTCGGAACGGGACGGAGCGGCGCAGCCCCGGTGCAGATGGGGGCCAACCTGACGGAGGCGGCGAAGGCGGAGGGGCAGAATCTGTTGGCCCTGGTGTTCGGGGTGCTGCTAATTATGGCGATCATCTGCGGAAACCTGCTGGTGTGTCTGAGCGTGATCATCGAGAAGGCGCTGAAGACCACCACCAACTACTTCATCCTCAGCCTGGCGGTGGCGGATCTGATGCTGGCGGTGCTCGTACTGCCGCTGTTCGTCTATTCTGAGGTGAGTTTCACTGGAACACACGGTCCATGGACCAACACTTTGGTTTGGGTACACAGCGAGACACTATACTTTTAAATGGTCAGCTGCAGCCAGAGTTTCTATTTGCAGCTCTGCCTTGTCTTTGTACAGACAGACCAATTAAAATGGCCCCAATCAAACTTTAATTTACACCATAAACCATCTAAAATTGGCGACCCTTCATTTCAACAAGTATTTAAGGGTACTTGACTTTCCCTTCGTTTTCCCATGACTTTGAAATAGAAAACTTCCAGTCATGAATTTTCAAACTGATTTTACATGAGTATAGGTCTGAGAATAGGGACTCTTAACGTTGGCACAATGACAGGGAAAGGTAGAGAGCTGGCGGACATGATGGAGAGAAGGAAGGTAGATATACTGTGTGTGCAGGAGACCAGGTGGAAGGGTAGCAAAGCGTGTAGCATTGGAGGGGGATACAAACTGTTTTATTATGGTGTGGACAGGAAGAGAAATGGGGTAGGAGTGACCCTGAAGGAGGAGCTCGTGATGAATGTTTAAGAGGTGAAAAGAGATGAGGCAATCTGAGAGAGATTAATGACTGCAAAGTGGTGGTATGGGAAAGTGTAGCCAGACAGCATCGGATGGTGGTGTGTAGGATGACTCTGGTGGTCAGGAAGAAGAGGAGAGGAAAGACGGATAAGAAGACCAAGTGGTGGAAGTTGAGAATGTCGTGAGGAATTCAGACAAGTTGAGACAGGCTTTGGGTGGTCAGGAAGAACTTCCAGATGACTGGGAGAAGTGATCAGGGAGACAGGTAGGAAGGTGCTAGGTGTGTCATCTGGAAGGAGGAAAGAAGATAAGGAAACGTGGTGGAACGAAGTAGTACAGGACAGCATTCAGAGGACGAGGCAAGCTAAAAAGAAGTGGGATGTAGAAAGGACTGAAGACAGTAGACAGGATTACAAGAAATTGCAGCATAGAGTGAAGAGGGAGGTGGCAATGGCCAAACAGAAAGCATATGATGAGTTGTATGCCAGGTTAGACATGAGGGAAGGTGAGAAGGACTTGTACAGATTAGCAAGACAGAGAGATAGAGATGGGAAGGATGTGCAACAGATAAGGGAATTAAAGACAGAGATGGAAAGGTGCTAAAAAGCGAGGAGAGTGTGCAGAGAAGATGGAAGGAGTATTTTGAGGAACTGATGAATG